CAATTTAAAAAATAATTATTTCGATTTCAATAGGTTATAATAATTTAAAAAAAAATTTTAAAATGTCGAGATTTACAGATTCTAAAAATCGTAATTTTTTGGAGGATTTTCACTATTTACGGGGAACGAGGTCAAATTTTTCAATTTTTGAGGGTACTGTCTTCGATTAAACAATATTTGTGATATTTTGACGTATCGTTGAAAGAAATCGGTTCGGTGAGAGCTGAGAAAAAGTGGTAACAGAAACAAAAATAAAATTAACACATTATAGGAAAATTAATATTTCCTCTGCTTCGTATCGAAGCTTAAAGTAATTAATGTTTTTAAACAATTTATTATTATTTTACGTTCATCGAAAATGATAATACCTTAGAGGATAATATATTGTGCCTATTCATTTTATTTTATACTTTATTTAAACATTTAATCTACTTTGCACTTTTTAATAAGATTATATTACGACATTATAGTTTACATTAAATTTGCGCATACTAAGTAAGTAAATATTAAATAAATTAATTGCAAAAAAAAATGTTCAGGAAGTAAGACTTTATATACGTAATGTATATTTAGTCGAGGAAAACGATGCAAATCACTTACTTTAATTAATATATTCATAAAAATGTTTTCCACATATTAAAAAGCTTTAAGACTATTTCTTTTGTCCTATAAAACGTTTACTTGCACAGAGTTAAATCTAATATAAAAACTAGTGAATTCCGTTTTATTTGCAGTAAATTAGGTCAATTTATTTGACTACAAACGTAATGTATTTATTTGGTTCTCAAAATTATTTAGATCTATTGCTCTATTACTTATGTTTACACATCAATTGATTTTAGCTGAGACGCAATAATCAATTTTATTTGTATCTTTTTAGCTTTTACAAATACAAATTTATTAAACAATATGAAAACGTTTACAATAAATTATACATAACTTGAGTTAGTGGCATCATTTGCGATACACAAAATATACATTTGCGTACTTAAATTCTGTATTATAAATTTTTAGTTCCTAAAATGATTAATAAGTCCCCACAACCACTCCCTATAAATGATTAGTGATATCAATGCTACCAAAAATATACCTGACACCTATGTTTTAAGCAATAATCGTTAAAAATTCGAAATATACTAATACTAAAACATATATAACATATACTAAAAAAATAAAGAAATCAATCCAACAGAAAATATTTTATCGGTGCTTTAATTAAATCTTTTAACTTTCTTTGTGTTCTCGATTCCCGTGAATAATGAAAATGAAATTTTTTTCACACGCCTCAGTTTAGTAATATCTGGTTATAATACAATAACAAAATATAAAAACCAGACATTTTTAAAACATTTAACGATTTTATTTAAAATATATATCTCTTAAAAACTTTTTTTCTACCTTACTTGTAGTAGAAATTTGATTTATGTATTATTTCTTAAAACAACGCCTACATCCGAAATATTTTATTCAAAACAATTTTTGATTTCGTCAATTATTAAAAAGTTTAATATTTACTTAATTACAAATTGGTAAATCATAACCTAACAAAACTTAATAAAGTTCTTGTACACATTGCAATAACAAATCTTGAGGTTGACCTATAAAACCAGCAAATGTACGACTACAGTTATCATTATAAAAGATTTCCAATTTCACTAAAGGAATATTAAATCTACAAAACAAAAACAAAATATTCTTATCATTTAATTGAAGGAAAATTATACAGATATAATTTGTCCTTAAAACTAATCTACAAAAAAGCTACTTTGAAATTTCCAAAAAAATTAAAAAAATTAATTATGTTTCATGAAATAAAAAAAAATATTAATAATAAATTTTAATTAGATTAAAGTTTGTAAAATGTATTATTTTTTTAAATTTTAATTTACAAATGCAGAAATAAGTATGAAGTTAATTATATAGGATTATAATTTTTAACTATTCTATATTAAAAATATAATTATCCCAATTACCACGTTCGCGTTCAAACAATCTGGTACGCCTTTGATGTACAGTTAAAACATTTGTTGGGTTTGGATGAAACTGCTGGCCATTAAACATTGNTTTGATGTACAGTTAAAAAATTTGTTGGGTTTGGATGAAACTGCTGGCCATTAAACATTGAAATAATAGTATTGGAAAAATATTATTTAGCTTGAACAATACTAAAAAATTTTGAAAAATTATGAACTTCGATATGTTACAAATTATAACTTACAATGCATTTATTACTTTTGCTCATCATCTCCATAATTTTTAATTGAATCTATAACACAACATTGATGTTTTGAATGTGTTGAAACTTTCGTAGATTGTCGTATTGCTTAAAATTGTACGGATGTATCCACGTTTACAGCAATGAAGTGCGTTTCGGNTTTACGGATATATCCACGTTTACAGTAATGAAGTGACGTTTCGGACTCGTTGCAGAGTCCCTCTTCAGAGCGATAGTCACAGGCTCGTAGTTACAACTAAACTGTCAGCTTAGCTTGTTTACGGTATGTTTTTATATCAGTTGATAACTGATAATATCAATGTTGTTTGTTGTTTACATCCTGTTTTTGTTTTTATGTGATAAAACTACAATTAAAATTACAGAAAAAAGGTGGTATAGAAAAGGAAGAACTAAATAACAAATAACAACAACAAAATCAAAATCAAAAACCGGAAGTAAACAGCAGGACAAAATCAACAACAGATAAACAACTATGATGTTATCAGTTATCAACTAATATATAAAAATATACCGTAAACAAGCTAAGGCCACAGTATAGTTACAGACCTATGACTATTGCACTAAAGATGGANGGCCACAGTATAGTTACAGACCTATGACTATTGCACTAAAGATGGATTCTGCCACTAGTTCGAAATATTAGCTCAGTACTGAAAACGTGGATACATTCCTAAACATTTCAAGCACCGTTCAAGTATTAGATAAAGTAAGAACCAAATTATGGGCGCCATAAAAAAATGTATTATTTCATATGACCAAAATATGAATTCTTGAGATCTTGATAATTACTATTTTAAAGTGTATTTCAACGAAAACTATTTGAATATTAACCATACTGATAATAAAAGATAATAAAAACAAGTGGTTCTTAAAATTAAAATTTTAATTTTTTTGAAAAATGTTAAGATACATTTTTTTTTAATTTAAATAATAACTTATTTATCGACTTAAAAAAATTAAGGTAGGCAGGTAGAGGGAGGTAGCCTCGGCCTACCTCCCTCTACCAATTGTCTTCCACAGGGTAGAAGCCGTCTCTTTCAAGGCGGCCCGAGTAACTATGACATACTCGGATCGTTGGGAAGTCTTTCTGTATATGTACTTAAATGAAAAAAAAACACCATTTGACCCTGGGTCAGCTTTTTGGTATTATCCTAAATCCGTTAAGTAAATCAAACATCAATTTTCGATGGGCCTATTTTTTACCCTCCAGAGACCAGAATTGAATTATCGACCCCTAGTTACTAGAATTATAAACCAAAACACGCCTACTCTAAGGCACTCCATATGTACTCTACTCAACGATTACACATATTTCTATCCACTGATAATGCACCGAACAATTATATCGACACAGTCATTAAAGAATTCAAGCTAAAATATGAAGAAATAAAACAACGGCGTCATCGCCCTAGACAATTTTATAACAACGATGAAATTGTATTGTCTGTATTAGCAGACGCTTTTAGTG